TCTCTGTCTCTCTGTCTCTGTCTCTCTGTCTCTGTCTCTCTGTCTCTGTCTCTGTCTCTCTCTCTCTGGTCCAACCATTGCCTTGGGTGTGCGCTGTCTTTTTCTTACATGACTTTCTGTCTAATACTTAATAAACTCATTGACTTTGTTTTACTCTGGCTGGTCCTGAAATTCTTTTTGTGGTGCACTTGAGGATTCTCTTGGGTGGAGCCCCCAAGGGAGGGGGAACACGTCTCTGTCTGTCTCTCTCTCTCTCTCTCTGGTCCAACCATTGCCTTGGGTGTGCGCTGTCTTTTTCTTACATGACTTTCTGTCTAATACTTAATAAACTCATTGACTTTGTTTTACTCTGGCTGGTCCTGAAATTCTTTTTGTGGTGCACTTGAGGATTCTCTTGGGTGGAGCCCCCAAGGGAGGGGGAATCCTCAGGCTGCTGGCTGGTACCACCATCAGGGACTTTGCATAGTTAACCTTCACTCCTCACTTAGCCTCTCCTGACCACCGGATCTCACTGCCAAGGGCAGAAGCCTGCCATGCTCCTCAACCTCCAGGGAGCTATGGGTGACCCGGGGGTCTGTATGCCTTCCCCTCCTGCCGCTCTGAGGCCCCTGCACCCAGATCCAGCCCAGCCCTGCTGTTCCCACCCACCTCTTTCAGCCTCTCCATGCACACAGCCTGTCTATGGTCTTTCCCCTATGATACTAAGCACAGCCTCCCCCACGTTCTCCTGTGACTTTTACAACATACAGTTATGTTTAAATTACTTTTATTTGTGTGTGGGCGTGTTGGGGTGTTTGGCATGGTATGTGTGAAGGTCAGGAGTGAATTTGTGGAAGCTGGTTCTCTCCTTCCACCATGTGGGGCCCGGAGATGGAAATCAGGGGGTCAGGTTTGGTGGCAAGCACCTTTACCTACTGAACCAGCTCACTGGCCCCAAGATTAAAGTTTGGAGTATGCTGGAGGAATTGCTTGCATTAGGCATTGTGCAAGAGGCTGCATTCTGTCTTTATGAACAACTCTGTGGGTCCCTCTGGGTTCCACTCACCCCATTCTCCTGCTGGGATCCCCTTTGCCCACCACCCCCACACTGCTGCCCCTGGCCTCCTCTGTGGCACCCTGAGGTGCTTTGTTCCTGGTACCCCTCCTGGAATGGCTGGTGTGACCACCAGATGAGCCAGGCAGATGGCGCTGTGTACCCATGTTACCGCTACAGGCTGGGCACCTTGGAACCTGCTTCTGACTCCTCAGTTTCTTGAGGGAGGCCGCAGTGATTGAACGGAAGGGGGGTCTGTTCCCTAGTGACCCGTTCCTCCTACATCTCTCTGGCCCCTGACCTCCTGACCTCACAGACCAGGTTCAGCCACTTCCTCACTGTGCCTCCCTTTCCTCTTTTGAAATGCAAACACCTACAAATCTGCCACTGCAATCTGGAACCTGGGTGGATGTGCGCACGGTGCCAAGGAGCTCCTGGGAGCAGCTGTGCGCAGCTGCGGACGGTGACTGCTCGGGCCCCTCACCCAGGGGAGGCCGCGACTGACTCAGCCTGGGGCGGAGCCACCTGGGCCTCCATCCTCATCCCAGCCCGGGTTGGCCATTCCCGTCCCCACAGCATCCAGGCTCCCGTCTCTGCGCATCCCCGAACCCAGCGCCCTGCTATGGCCTTCCTGGAAGCGGAGGGCGGCTGGAACGTGTCCTTCGCAGGTGCGGGGTACTTGGGCCTCTACCACGTGGGAGCCACCCAGTGCCTGCGCGAGCGCGCGCCGCATCTCCTCCAGGGCGCCCGCCGTCTGTATGGCTCCTCATCCGGCGCTCTCAACGCCGTGAGCATCATCTGTGGCAAGTCGGCAGGTGTGTGGAAAGGTTCCCGGAGCCCACAGGGAGCTGCGCCTGGCTCTACACTCTGCCACTGAATCTGATCTCTGGGGTCACTCCTATTTACAAAGGTGGGATCCTGGTTTCAGAGCTGGGATCATGCCCCCTAGGGTCCCTGGGGGCATTTGAAACCAGGGCTGGGCAAGGATATTCTGAATTGATTCCCAGGCACTCAGGAGGGAGGTGGTCTCTGTGGGTGTGTGAGTGGCCTCAGGTGTCTGAGGCCTCCCTCCCCACCACCCTGCAGACTATTGCTGCTCCAACCTCCTGGGCATGGTGAAGCAGGTGGACCAGCTGAGTCTGGGCATCTTCCACCGGGCCTATGTGCCCATAGAATACATCAAACAGAGACTGCAGGACACTCTGCCCAGCGACTGCCACATCCTGGCTTCCCAGAGGCTGGGCATCTCCATGACCCACTGGCCTGATGGCCGCAACTACATAGTCACTGACTTTGTCACTCCGGATGAGCTTATCCAGGTGAGTAGGGGCTGGGCTGGGCCCTGGGCAGTGGAAGCAAAGTCCACCAGGTATCAGAATGTGTCCAGAGGCTTCTGGAAGTAGCCAGAGCTACACTGGATCTGAAGAAAGAGTCACCCAGGGGCTTCTGTGGTCCTGGGAGGAGAGGGACCTGAGGGGCCCCTGGGGCTCTCTGAGAGGAGGTCAACTTCCTCAGTCAGGGCCCCCAGGGCTGATCTTCCCACAGGTATCTGCCCAGGCCCATCCTACCCCATTCTCCCTGCACTTTCTGATTCCGGAGCAAACTTATTGAGCTTCTGTTCTGTGTGGGGTGCTATTGTAGGTCTGTGATTCTGTCAGGGAAGGGACTAGACAAAAGCCCTCAACCTCCTTCTAATGAGGCTGGGGACGGATGGATGCTCTTTCCAGGAACTGGTTAGGAATCAGGACCACCAGGTGGGGAAGGGAAAATCTCTTCTGACTTGTCAGATCTCTCCTCTGTCTCCTCTCACACTAAGCCTCTCACACTAAGCCCCACCCCCCTCAGGCTGTCTTTGTGCCCCGAACTCAGCACTGGGACCTGCCTACCAGGTCCAAAGTTACTGGAACATAGCTAGCTGTTCAGTTATTGGGGGTGTCCCCTGCTGTGAGCTGATGTCCAGCAGGGAACCCCAGACTCCAGAGTCTGTCCTAGCACACACGCCTGGACTGCACATAAGAGGTGCTCAGTGAATCTCAGCCCTTGCTGCATTCATCTGTGGGAACGAAGTTCACCCACATTTCCAGTGCTCAGGGGCTAGAAGTGCTCACGAGCCTCCCAGGGAAGGTAGAAGGGATGCCTTCCAGGAGGCTGACCAATGGTCTATGTTTCCTGAGCTTGGAAAACTCTGGGTCAGCATCTTTTGCAAAGCCCCTTACCTCTAGTATATTTGATGGTTTTAAAGATATTCTTGGCAGTCACAACCCTGCATGTGTCGATGCATGCTGCTGGTATCTAGTAGGTGGGGCCAGGGACAATGCTAAGCATCCTACACAATGCACAGGACAGCTTACACATCCCTGTTACAGAAACACAGAAACACCTGACCCAGGTGTTCACAGGGTCAGCCTAAGTGAAGTATCTTTTTTACAGCAGGACTTGTCATGGCTTTTACGAGGGTTGGGGGAGATGATGTCACTCATGGGGACGGGGGTAGGGTGGGGGCTGGGGTTCCTTCCTGGAGGAGCATTTGTTTGGTGGATCATGGACAGAGCACTCTGATTGGGGGTGGTGGTACTGATGAGGAGTGTCCTACCCACGGTCCCGGGCAGTGAGGGTGCCCCTCCGCACAGAGGACGGTGCTGTAAGGAGGCACTCACCTGTCTTCAGCTGAGCAGGTGGCGATGTGGATGGGCGAGTACGAACACTGAGTGGGGACAATTGATGTTCTCTTGGGTCTTGTCCTTTAGGCTCTTGTCTGCACTTTGTATTTCCCCTTGTACTGCGGGATGACCCCCCCTGAGTTCAGAGGGGAGGTGAGCGCATTAGGGGCATCTGCTGGGATGTGGGGGACTGGTCCAGAAGTGGAGGTAGTAGTTGGCATCTTCTGGGTGGCACCTCCTGCTGCTGGGGCTCTGCATGGGCTGGAGGGAGCTGGGGACTCAGGGCCACATGGGGAGGGCATGGGGAGGGCAGCGTGGCCCACCTGCCTGCCTGTCTCACAGCGCTACATTGGTGGGGCTTTCAGCAACAACCTGCCCTTGGCAAACTGCCCCTCCACCATCACTGTCTCTCCCTTCCACGGAACGGTGGACATCTGTCCCCAGAGCAGCTCGGCCAGCCTGCACGAGCTGAACGCCTTCAATGCCAGCTTCCAGATCTCTACCATGAACTTCTTCCTGGGGTACATATCCCTCTTCCCCTGCAAACCTGAGGTAGGTCACCAGGGCATGGTCCCTGCCCATGACCCCTCCCCAGAACTTCAATCACTCCCAGCCTCACCTCACTCCAGCCCTGGAGGTGAAATCTGGGCCCAGCTGGGATCCCACTTGACTATTCCTCCATGGGTTCGAACTGAGCTAGGATTGTCCAGATCAGGGGGTACACTCACATTAACACCCTGTGAGCTGGACTGGAGCCCGGCAGGGGTCCGCACTCACCCAGCCAGGCTCTGTAAGCGGAATAGTTAGCTCCATTTTTTTTTTTTTTTTTTTTTTTTTTTTTTAAAAAAAAAAAAAAAAAAAAAAAAGAGGACGATAAATCTTTCACTGTGATATATCAAAATAACCAGGCTGGTCTCGAACTCACAAAGATCTGCCTGCCTCTGCCTCCCAAGTGCTGGCATTAAAGGTATGCACCACCACGCCCGGCCCTGCTCCATTTTTTTTAAAGATTCAGTTTATTTTTATTTGTGTGTGTGTGTGTGTGTGTGTACATGTGTATGTACATGTGTGTGTATGCCCAAGGAGGCCCAAGGAAGAGGGCAACAGATCCTCTGGAGCTGGAGTTGCAGGCAGTTGTGAGCCTCCCCATATGGGTGCTGGGAACTGAATTTAGGTCTCTGGAAGAGCAACAAGTGCTCTTAACTGCTGAGCCATCTCTCCAGTCCCTAGTTAGCTCCATTTCTCAGAGGACATAGGCTCAGAGAGGTTAAGTGACTTATTGAAAGTCACACAGCTTGGAAGTGGCAGAGCCAAAATGATCCTTTCAGGATATTCAGCCCAAGGTCTTAACAGTGGCTGAGACTGTGGCCAGCGTGCTGGGGACAGACAGACCAAGGTGCTGGGCTCCTCCCCACCCCTCTGCCCTCTTCCTGTGTGTTATAATTCACAGGTCAGGGCCAGAAGTTCCAGCACGCCTTATCAGTCACCTGGTGAGGGCAGAGACTCTCAGCCTCACTTCACAGATAGGGAAACTGAGGGTCTTCAAGGTGGTGCTGCTGGTCTGAGGTTACACCCCACACTCCCTGAGCCCACGGAGGCCTCTTTCCAACAGTGGCTCCCATTTCAGGAAACTCCTTGAAATTACCTACAGAGGGGAGAGGGAAGGAGCTGCCCTCTCAGGCCTGTGGGGAGCCAGGTGGAGACCCTGCCATCTTGCCACCCTGACTGCTAGAGGGAAACTGTGGAGGCAGGCAGGCCACTGGGAGGGGACCTCAGGAGCAGCTCTCCCTGACCAGTACTGGGGCCCCGGGTAACTACTCTGGAGTATCACTTGTGCAGCAGGCTGGGCCCTGGCTGCTTCCAGCTAGGGACAGGTCTCCAGCCTGTGGCTGGTACTGGAGAGCCCTAAACCCTGGCTGACCACTGCAGACAAGGCTACCTGGATGCTCTGAGGTTTCTGGAGACACGGGGTAGGTGGCAGGGCTCAGCGACACAAGGTGGCAGGTGGATTCTGCCTCTCTGGAGTTTGAGCCCTGGGACCTCAGTGATTGCCCCGTGTGTAACCAAGTCATGTGGGTCCCATTCTGGAGCTTTGAAAGCCTGGGGCTGACAGAGGGTCTCTCAGTGATGGGGGTGGAGGAGTGTTTTGCCTCAGCCTAGGGTGAGCAGGGGCAAGGTTCCTGGAGGTGGCGCCAAACAAGCTGGGTTGGGATGAGATGCAGAGAAGAATGTGCCTGGTTGGAACAGAAAGGCAGAGGTGGAGTGCTGGAGCGGAACTGAACCCCAAGTGATATGTGAGCCGGTGGGAGGCAGGCACGTGCCCCCAGGGCCAGAGAGCATGGCCGTCACCCTGTGAGTCAGGATTGGGAGATGAACCCAAGCCGTGACCTCCGGAACACCCGTCTCCGACCTTTGTGGTCCTCCCCAGTCTACAGCACCCTACTCCCTATAGGCCTGGGCCTGAGACCACTGCATTTAATTCTCATCCTTAAGTTCACTTTTACAGAGGAGAAACTGAGGCAGGAGGGCTGGGGCTCATGTAGCTGGCATGTGTGGGTAGATAGGTAGACTTGGAGCATAGAGCTGTGTCCCTGGAGCCCCAGTTCTGATGAACGGCAGGGGTCACTGCAGAGGACCTATCCTTCAGCCTGAGTCCTGGAGCTGTCTGAGGCATGTGGACAGCAAGATGCCACTGTCTCCTGGGGCTGCCGCTGTGCCGACCATCAGATCTTCTCTCTCCCCACCCAGGACTTACCAAGGAGCCAGTGCTGTGGTCGCTAGTATCCAGGGAGCCTCTGGCCCCCGTGGAGGGGCACTGGGGCACTGGCCATTACCAAGGCTGGAAGACTGGCCTGACATTCAGGTGGGACATCTCTAACATGCTGGTCAAGGATGTACCTAACTTCGAGCAGCTGTCACCAGAACTGGAGGCTGGTACTGCCCCTTCCCACACCACTCACCGCCCAGCCACATGCCCACCAAGTCCCTACTAAGTGCCCAGTGCAGCAGAGGGCTTTTTCCGTGTCATTCATACCTGACCATAACCTGGCTGTGAGTCTCACTGGCACTTCTCCACCCTGAACCTCGATCTCCTCCTCTGTGCCATGCGGGAGGACTGAGCACGCATGTGCAGGGCGCCCTCTGCCGGCAACAGTAGCTCAATTGACCTGGAGAAGTGGTGGGTGGGTACTGTCTGCATCTTGGCAGCCCCAGGGGGACCAGGGACAGGTAATGGGGCGGTGACAGCTCACCAGCCAGCCTGTGGGTACCAAGGAACTGTGGGTTCCTTTGCAGCACTGAGGAAGGCATGCAAACGGGACCCCTGGGCTCGGTTCCAGTGTTCTGTGCCCGGCCGGGCCCTGACCTACCTGCTGTTACCGTGCACGCTGCCCTTTGAGGATGTCTACTTCAGGAGCAGGAGGTGAGGTGGCCTGGCCTGACAGAGGGGCAGGGCTCTGACAGGCAGCTAAGTAGCCCCCCGCACCTGGGTAGGCTCTACCAAAGAGAGTTGGTGGGGAGGCTGTATGGCCTAACAGAATCCTGGTCAGCAGCCTGAGCCAATTCTGTGACTTCTGTTTGCTCCACAGTCAGAACCTCAGACACTGCTCTGGCCTTGGCAACAATCCCAGCTGGTCCAGCTCAGATTGGTCATGTGGCCTGGGCCTGCTCTCTTGACCTCTCTGGGTCACAGCCACATTTCCTAAAAGCAAGGCTCCTCTGGGCCATCTGACTGCAACTGAACCCTGTGAGAGCATTGTGCCTCGCTGGGGTGGTGGACAACACTGTCTTGCCTGCTCACTCAGAAGCTGTTGAAGGCCTACGAGGGCCAGGTGCTGGCTGGGACCAAGGGAGATAGGCCAACCCTGATCTAGTTCCTGGTCTGGTGGAGCCTACAACTCACAGCCATCTAGTGCACATATACATGCTTTTAGCTCTTGGAAGAGGCCCACCCTGGCTCTGAGCTAGTCTGGCCCATGCTCAGAACCCTTTGGCTAGAGGAGACAGGAGATTACTTTTGATCTACAGTCCTAAGGGTGGGTCACAGTCCATCAGTTAAAGGGGAAGGAAAGCATTCCAGATGGATGGGGCAGTGAATGCAAAGGTCTTGGGGCAGAAGGGAGTTAGGCACATCTGAAACCAAAGGGGAGGTGGGTGTGGCTGGAGTGAACTTCAGACTCTTATACCAGATGGGCCTGGAGAATGGCTGGGGCCAGACACACAGGGATCTGTGGCCAGTTGGGTAAGTGTTGTCTAGAATGGGGGTAAGATATGGAGGACTCTACAGGGAGGTTTTGTCCAGAGATCTGTTTATAGGATCTTCTTTTCTTGAGACAGGGCCTCACCTTGTAGCCCTGGCTGGCCTGGACCCTTGGTGTATAGACCAGGCTCGCTTCAAAGTCATAGAGATCTGCCTGCCTCTGCTTTCCACATTCTGGGATGGAAGGCGTGTGCTGCAAGGACTGGTTCTGAGATCAAATCTTACTATACAATCCAGACTGACCTTGAACTCAAGCCCCTCCTGCCTGGGACTCTAGCCATGTGTCACTAGATCCGGCCTGAGATCTTTATTTCTAAAAAGTCTCCATGTTTTAGAAGAAGGTCTGTGACAGTCCTGTTCTACACTGAGTTAGTGACTGGGTCAGCACTGGCGTTTCAATGGTGAGCGGCCCAAAGCTGGGGAGCCTCTCTGTTGACAGACTCTCCTCAGGCTCAGGAAAACCACAAGTTGAAATGCAAAAGAATAAATATGAAGTGTAGCCTTTTCTATGTGGTGACGGTCTGCCCAGAGCACCGGAAATTAAACCCTTGGTATTTCCTACAGCGTGCACATCCACGGGGCATCTGGAACAGGAGAGAGCGCTGGTCAGAGGGTGTGTGGGGAGGAGGGGCACGGGAAGGGAGAGGGATGGAGATAAGGAAGGTTAAGGACTGTTGACAGGTCAGGAAACTGAGGTCTAGAGAAGTGCCCCTGCTCCCAGATCACACAACAGATGAGCAGGAGAGCTGAGTGGCTCTAAACCAGACACCGTCAGCTGTGCTTTCTGCCCCAGGCTTGCTCCTGGAGCTCTGTGGAGCAACATACTCCCTCCCCCAAGTTCAAAGTCCACCTCAGGTTATCCTGCCCCACATGCCCCCAGCGAGGTCACCATGCTCCACAGTGGTGCCCAGCACCTCTGGGCTCTTCTTGCCTACCCTGGGCAGTCCTCCCACGGTCCAGCTGGTGCCCTGAGTGCAGGCCCGGCTCTGCTGAGGGACAATCCTGGACTGTCCAGGAAGCTGATGCTGTGGCTGCCCGAGATGCCAGCTGATCTGTGCTGGATGCAGGGTCTGCTAAAGAGTGCGGTCTTCGAGGTCTACTCCAGGGTGAGGACCCAACTCCTCAGACTGGGCAGGTGAGGCATATGAAAAGGCCGAGGTGTATGAGGGGCAAGGGCATTTTGCCAGGTGTGTGTGCAGCAGGTGTGTGTGCAGCAGGTGTGTGTGCTGCCCGCTCCCACCCCCCAGCACCCAGCACCTGGTGCTAACCACCTGTATTAGTTACTTTTCTGTTGCTGTGATAGAAACACCATGAAAAGGAACTTATAAAAGGAAGAGTTTATCTGCAGTCATGGTTCCAAAGGGGCAAGAGTCCTCATCATGGTGGGGAGGCGTGCCAGCACAGGTGGCTGGAGGAGGAGTGGAAGCTAAGCTCTCACATCTTCAAGCAGGCAGAAGCAACCAAGAGTAACTCAAGATCTGGCACGGCTTAAGAACTATCTAAGCCCATCCCTAGCATGGCCACACCTTCTAAGACCTTCCAAAACAGTGCCAGCAACTGGGGACAAAATGTCCAAATACTTGGAGCCTATGGGGGACATTCTCATTCAAACCACCACACCACCCAATTCACAGAATCCAGAACCTAGCACACAGCACCTAGCACCTAATGTCGCCCACTCAGAACCTATAGAACCTATAGAACCCAGAACCTAACACCTAACACCCAGCAACTAGCACCTTGTACATACCCCCCAAGTCACAGATCCCAGAACCTAGCACACAGCACCTAGTATCTACCGCCCAATTTATAGAATCCAGAGCCTAGCACCTACCACCCAGCACCTTATACCCACCACCCAATTCCCAGAACCCAGAACCTACAACCTAGTGCCCCCCACCTATGCTGTGCCCCTCTGTTCATCCACCTGGCAGCCCTGTTTGTGTGTTCACTGCCATTGTGTGCCACCCTGTGTCAGGGACTCTTGACCAGTTGTACTGGTTAGGCTAAGTGGTCTTCTGGGGATACTCCCAGGGGACAGGTGGGTCTCCTTTACCATCCCTGCTGGCCCTGTGTGGCCAGGAGCTGCCAGGTTGCCTCCTGCCTGCTCTCTCTGTTGCAGGAGACCCGGTATGTCTCCCTTCTCCCATCCTGTCCTCCTAGGAAGGATCACCCTGGAGCTCCACTGTCCCTCCTGGTTGGCCCCTCTGAGGGCCTGGGCTCTCTTCCTCAGAAAGGGCTGGGGACAGAGTAGCCTAGCTCCCTGAGGGGGTGTATGTCCCTTACTGTGTCATCCTGCCTTTGGCAAACCTCAGGCTTTAAACTGATACACGTCTCCTTTACCCTACAGCCCGCCAGTCACCAGCACGGATTCTGGTCCCTTCCAGCCTCGGACAGCTGCCTCTGAGAACCCGGCTTTGAAGTTTAGCCCCTCCGATCATGCACAGTGCTAGGCTGGCCAGTGTGTGAGGCCTGATGGGCCCTGGCCTCATTCAGTGTAGTGTCCGTCCTGGCTGTGGTGACTCTGGAAGATGGCCTGTGTCAGGCCTCCCCCCGAGGAGCTCTGAGCCTGATTTCCAGTTCAGGAAGCTGGCTGCCCTGTGTCCGGTCTTCCTAGTGTAGGCTGCCTGCTAATGTTGTGGAAAGTGATCCCTCTCCTAAGACCCTGGGGGGGTGCACACTTTTATTTGGAGTAGGTGTGGCCTGTCTGGATGCCCCTGGTGCCTAGGTGTCTTCCTCCTCTCTGAGCATCTTGTCAGGGAAGGAAGGATGGAAAAAGCCAAGGCATGTCTCAGTTTTGGATGTCCACATGGGGGTCATGGAGGGCACAGGCACCCAGCAGAGGCATACATGTCTCAAGCTGTGTACAGAGAACCTGGCAGGAACTGGAACCAGTGTTCCAATGCCCAGATCAGGGGAGTCACTGCGGCACCAGGGCTGCCCCACCCTTTCTCTGAACTCTCCTTGCACTGTCCTGGGGGTGAGCCTGCGACCCTGTCACTAGGCAAGCCTCAGTCTCTTACCCTACCTGGGCCCCACATGGGCACTTACCAGGAGTGGGAAGGCGGCCAGCTGGGGTTCCCTTTTACTGGGATCCTTTGCAGGGGTTTCTGCTGGGGTCATATCTCATTGGCACTGCAGCCTGGCCCCTCAGGAGGGTTTCTGGGTGCCCCACATGGCATGCCAAGCCTCCTCTGGCCTCTCCTGGGAGTCCCTGTCCTTCCCGTCCCTGCAGAGTCCACACTGTGCTCCTGGCCAGACTGAGAGGACAGGGCCCAAGTAGAGGTGGGGACTGTGGAGGGTAGAGGTACCTGTAGATAAGAGACAGAAGAATTGTGAATGAAGAGATGGTGTGTCATTGATCATCTCTCCATCCATCGGTCATTCATTGATCATTGATCATTCATCTACCATTGATTCACCATTTATCATTAATTTACTCTTTCATTAATTCACCATCCATTCACTCATTATCCATTTCCATCATCATCCATCCTTTATCCAGCTATCATTAATTCACTGGTCACTTATTGATCATCCCTCCATCCATCCCCATCCATTCATTTTCATTCATTCACATGGTTCTCAGGAACAAGTTGTGAACAAACCCACTTTGAGCAGCACACAGGGAAACGCCACCCTGAGCCCCTCCCAGGAGTGGCTGTGCTTTTAAGAGAACATGGCAGGTGAGGATGGGAAGCCGAGGGAGCCATGCGGCCAGGTGGTCAGGAGACCTGACAAGAGACCAAGAGCTTTGCAAAGAGAGGCAGCAGCAGAGCAGAGGCCAGGCAGAGAGAAGGGTGCGTCTGTCACAGCAGCCGGAGTGGGCAGAGGGTGGAGGGTATGCTGAGAGTGTGGGGAGGCTGCGCCATGTCACCAAGGGGTTTGGGCAGGGGGACCAAACAGTGAGTGAAGAGCCAGTGCCTGGTCAAGGTGGTTGTGGTTTGGATGACAAGCACCCCATAGGTTCAAGTATCTGAACACTCAGTCACTTGGTGGCACTGTTTGGAGAAGGTCGTGAAGCCATCAGGAGGTGTGGCCTAGCAGGAGGAGCGGCTTTGAGAGTTCACGGCCTTGCCCCACCTCCAGCTTGCCCTCTGCTTCCTGCTCCTGCTTGAGGATGTGAAAGCTCCATTTTCTGCTCTGGCTGCCTCCCACCACACCTCCCTCCAACTCTCATCCCAATAAACTCTTCCTTCTGTAAGTTGCCTTGGTCATGGTGTTTTATCACAGCAATGGAAAAGTAACTAATACAGTGGCCCAGGCTTGTAACCCAGCACTCGGGGAAGAGTCAGGAGGATCTGGAGTTCCAGGTCAGCCTGGGCTATACAGTGAAATCTATCTCAGTAAAAACAAAACAAAACAAACTCCACCCCTCCAAAAACACCAAAGATGTGAGTCATGGCATGGGGGTTAGGCATGATGGGATCAGGAGGGCAGAGAGGGTGAGCAGGAGGCTCTACCTCCCTGCTGGCCCCTGAGACTGGGCTAACCTCACTTCTGTCTCCCTGATGGACCAGGCACTGGCCCCTTATGTCAGGGAGGGCTGTCTGTCTTGGAGTTTGGAGTCAGGTGTTCCCAGAAGGCCACTCTTTCTGTCTCCAAGGACCTGGGGATACTGCCTTGCCCCCGACCCAGCTGCCAGTGTGGGGTCTCGTCCCCCTGAGCAACTGGGGCTCCAGACCAGGGGCCTTTAGTCTCAGAATGTCCTTGAGGGATTGCTCTCGTGCCTCGTGGTCACAGGCTCCAATCCAAAGCCTCCCCATGCTGCCCTCTCACCCACCAGCTCCTCACTCTGGGAACCCACCTTTGCCACCCCTGCCTGCTTCTCTCTGTGCTTTAGGGTAGACGCCAGCCACTCCTCCTGTTCTCCATTTCCTCCTCAGCCACAGCCTGTGCCCGAGGTTCCCAGCTGACTCAGGGGAATGCCTCTGCTGCCCATCGCCTGGCTCCTGGGCTGGGGATGTGGCTCAGGATGTGGGTAGAGTGCTCGCCTAGTGTGCATAGAGTCGTGGGTTTGATCTCTAGCACCACATAATCTTAGTGAGGTGATATATGCTTCTTAAAGCAGTTTTTCAAGGAGGCGGCAGGAAGATTAGAAGTTCAAGGTCATCCTTGACTACACAGTGAGTTGAAGGCCAGCCTGAGATCATGAGACTCTATCTCTTTCTCACACACACAGCTCTGAAGACTTCCCTCTGGTCGTTGTCATCTGTAGCCCAACTATCAAGAGCCCTCTTGGGACCCGAGTCACTCGTGGCCTCCCATTCATCCACCACCTCTTCTTGTCTCCCAGCGTCCCAGCCAGAGGCCTCCTGTACCTGGAGCCTTCCATTTATTTATTTATTTACAACGCTGGGGATGGAATCCAGGGCCTGGTGTATGCTAGGCAAGTCCTCTGCCACTTAGCTACACCCTATACCCTCTTTTTACTTTTTATTTTAAGGCAGTGTCTCACTAAGTGACCCATATTGGTCTTGAATTCAGTATGTGGGCAGCCTTGAACTTGTAATCTTCCTGTCAGTCTCCAAGATGACTGGGACTCCAGGATGCGCCAGCCAACCTGGCTGTGCCTGCCCAATGGCTGGCCTGGGAGAGTATGCTGGCTGTTTCTCCTTGCCTGAGGCAGATCATACCTGAGGTTCTCCCATGTTCCTTTGCTGTCTGCATGCAGGGAACGGGAATCTAGCCTTCCCCAGCTGCTTACACCTTAGTTAGTTCCTGGGTCCCATATGCTGCACCCCTGAGAGGCTGGAAGGTTTTCCCTATGTCATAGTGGGGATGGTGAGGTCCAGGGAGGTGAGGACAGGCTGTAAATGGTGAAATCTGAGCTGCAGGTGATCCAGGGATCCAGGAACCAGGCCAGCTCTGTGGGCATCTGCTCATGACTAGGAATGAGTGCTTTTTTTTTTTTTTATCAGCTCTTTGCCCGACCCCCTTTAAAATTTTTTTTTAAAAATTATTTTTAGCTGGGCAAGGTGGTGCATACCTTTAATCCCAGCACTCAGGAGGTAGAGGCAGGCGGATCTCTGTGAGTGCAAGGCCAGCCTGGTCTACATAGTGAGTTCCAGGACAGCTGGAGCTACAGGGAGACCCTGTCTCAAAAAGACCAAAAAAAATTATTTTTATGTGTATGTGTGTCTTGCCTGCATGTAGGTAAGTGCACCCGTGTCGTGCAATGCCTGAGGAGGACAGAAGAGGCCGTTGGATCCCCTGGAACTGGGGTTATGGACAGTTGTTAGTTGCTACATGGGTGCTGGGATTTGAACCCGGGTCTTCTGCAAGAACAACCAGGGTTGTAATGGGGGGGACTGATTGTATTTTATTTGTTGCTATTATGAAACCTTTTGTCTCTAGGGTGTTTATCATAGCATCTTTTAGGTCTTCTAGAGAGGAATCCTCATCTTGTCAGACCAAGAGGTCATCCATGTAATGATAAACATGTAGGCCTTTTTTAAAAAGGGGTGCTAGTGCATTTACAATGGCCTCCTGGCATATTGTAGGGCTGTTTGCCATACCCTGTGGCAGAAATAGCCATTCATATCGATCAGCTGGCCCAGAATTGTTAATTTTTGGAACTGAGAAGGCAAAATGTTGGCAATCATTATTGTGTAAACGGATGAGAAAAAGCAGGCTTTTATATCTAGGACTCACAGGGGAGTATTAAGGGGGATGGCAGAGACCATGGGCAGGCCTCTTTGGGGTGATCCCCATATTTTCATAGTTTTGTTTATGGCTCTGAGGTCCTGTAGCAGTCTCCATGCCCCTGTCTTTTTCTTTATTACAAAGACTGGGGTGTTCCATGGGCTCCTGGAGGGCCTAATGTGACCCAGCTGTAACTGATCTTTAACAGGTTGTTGTAAAATGAGTAATTTCTCCCTGGGTAATGGCCACTGTTCCACCGCATAGTCTTGATCTAGACCACATATGCAAGAGTACACGTGGACCCTGCAGTTCCTGGGTACCTTTGTGATAGTGGGTCACCCCTTGAGCGTGATCACCCACTGAGTGAGCCCCATGCCTCAGACTTCTTCAATGCCATCTGTGGCAGGAAGGCCACTATGTGCCAATCTGTAGCTGGGGTCCCATGATGCTCATGGTGATCTTTGTCCTCAAGGAATCTGTGTGCTGATGTCACTGGGGAATGCTGACCCCTGACCCCACATTGTGTGCTGGTTCCAGTGACATCCCTAGGTGGCAATTCAACATCTCCCAACTTTGCATTTTAGCTAGGAAGCAGGTTGGGCGCACTAATCAGGTGTTTCATGATCACTAAGAAATGATCATTATCTTTTATTTTGGGACAGAGTTTCTGTAGCCCAGGTTGGCCTCAGACTCACTGTATAACCTTGAACTCCAGATCCTCTGCCTCCACCTGCTGAGTGCTGGGATGACAGACCTGCACCACCACACCAGCTCACATGGTGTTGGGAATGGAACCTGGGGCTTCGTTCATTCTAGACAAGCACTCTAGCAACTGAGCCACATCCCAGAGGAGTCTGTGTGTTGTCACACTTGTGCGTGATGTGTGTGTGTGTGTGTTGTATGTGATGTGTGTATGGTGTATGATGTCTGTATGTGTATGGTGTGTGTGCATGGTGTGTAGTGTGTATATTTATGGTGTGTATGTGGTGTATGATGTGTGTAGTGTGTATATTTGTGGTGTGTGTATGTGGTGTACGATGTGTATGTGTGTGTGGCATTATGTGTGTTTGTGGTGTGGTATGTGTGTGTATGGTGTATGTGTCATGTATGATGTGTGTGTGGTCTGTTTGTAGGTGTATGGTGTGTGTGCATGGTGTGTAGTGTGTATATTTATGGTGTGTATGTGGTGTATGATGTGTGTAGTGTGTATATTTGTGGTGTGTGTATGTGGTGTACGATGTGTATGTGTGTGTGGCATTATGTGTGTTTGTGGTGTGGTATGTGTGTGTATGGTGTATGTGTCATGTATGATGTGTGTGTGGTCTGTTTGTAGTGTGGTGTGCTGTGTGTAGTATATATATGTCATGTATGATGTATGTGTGTATTGTGTATTTGTGTTGTGCGTATTGTGTGCATGTGTGTTGTGTATGTGTGTGCTGTGTGTGTTCGCAGGTTGGGAGGACAGAGGAGGACTTCCTGTGTCTTCTCTGCTGCAGCCCACCTTACTGTCTTGACACTGAACTGGAAGCTCACCCTTCTGGCTTAGCTGGCTGGTTAGTGAGCTCTGGAACCCCATCTCAGCAAGTCCACTCCCTCATGCCAGGGTTACAGGTATGCACAGCCACGTTTGTCTTTTTTTAAAACATGGATTCTAGGGATTCAAATCCAGGTTTTCACACGTGCTCAGCAAGGACTCTTACCTACTGAGCCATCTCCCCATTCCTTCTTACCAAAAAAAGATAAAATAAATTTGATCGTTTTATTAGTTACTTTTCTGTTTCTGTGATAAAAACTGTGACCAAAGGTGGCTTACAGAAGGAAGACTTTACAAGCACTTACAGTCCCAGAGGGAAATCCACAGTGATGGGGGAGGTACAGGGGCAGGAATAGAAAACTCAGCTCAAATCCTGAACCCCAAACATGAAGCAGAGAGGGTGAACTGGGAGTGAAGCGAGGCATGACCTCTCAAAGTGACATGCTCACACCTCCTAATGGTTCCAAGACCTCCTCAAACAGCATCTCCAACTGGGGACCAAGTGTTCAAATACTTGAGCCCATGGGAACATTTCTGGTGCGAACACCCACAGCTGAGTTATGGATGTACACAGGAAAGTGGTTCCTACAGTGAAGTAGGGCAACGTGTTTATCACCTCACGTGTTCTGTTTTCGGAGATAGGGTCTCATGTAGCTCATACTGGCCTCCAACTTTCTACATAGCTAAGGGTGACCCTGAGTTTGGATCCGTGATGCCACACCTGGCTGATCATCCCAAGCATCACCTTTTAGCTGTGCTGATATGTTCGAAATGTGCTTTAGAGCCCTTATCTTAGAGATGTGCGAGGAGTCGTACGTGATTGAGACACCGAGGCTCTATGTCACAATGGTCCTGGTGTGTGCGTTCAGGGGAGCTCATGAAATTAGAGTTAGTAATACACACTGGAAGATGGGCTGTGACGGGTGCATAGAAGTTCATTATCCCATTCTCTCAAATTTGTGTACGTTAGGCATTTCCGTAACCAAAAAATACTTAACCTTAAGCTTTATTTATTTAAATTACATTTATTTTTACTTACTTATATAACTATTTATTTATTTGTTGCGTGTATGTGTGTGTGTATGTCGCAGGACACAGGGCAACTCGAGAGACTCAGTTCTGTCACCATCTGGTTTCCAGAAATCAAACTCAGGTTGTAAGGCGTGGCAAAATTCAGCACCGCGGACAGCAACCACGGTCCCAGCATCCGCACGGAGGCGGTCACAGAGCGCTGGGAATTCAGGCATCCAGGCCGAGCCCCTGGAACTATCTGGACTTCACAGACCTCGGCGGGTGGGAGGCTCACTAACAGTGGCCTATCGACACTCTTCAGTCCATGAACCAGCCGTCTCTCTCTGTTTTTCTAGGTCCTTAATTTCTCTCTTCAATGCCAAGAAATTTGCGTAGGATTTTTTTTTTTTCTGGTTCGCTCTAAGGACTCATTGTTATTTGATGTTATTGTAGATGATATTAAAACTTCAGTTTCCAAGGATTTGTTGCTAGGATGTTGAAATAGAATTAACTTTTGTTTGGTGGTCTTGTGTACCACGAGCTCACCAAACTCCTTAATTCTGGTGGTTTCAGTTTGTTGCAAATTCTTAGGGAGTTTCTATGTCGAGAGATGGTTTATTTTTTACTAAACTGTTAATTACTGTATATGTGTGGGCGGGTGTGAGAGTGCCATAGCACACACGTGGAGGTCAGAGGACAACTCATGGGAATCAGTTCTTATCTTCCACCATATGGATCCCAGGGATTGAACTCAGGTCATCAGGTTTGGCATCAAGTGCCTTTACCTGTTGAGCCATCTCCTCAACCCTAGATTTTTATTCTGGAAAAAAAAACAAAAACCTACTACAAAGTTCACCACAACTGTCTTCCACAGAGGTTCACACTCCAGCCCCCAGTCCCTGTCATGCTATGTTAGCTGGAAAGGCAGGGAGTGGGTGGAATGGAGGTCGTGGATCAGTAAAGAACAGGGTGGGGGCCATGGGATCAAAGTGTCCTTAAGAGCAGAAGAGAGAGGCAGGTGAAAGGTGCAGCCAGTGACATGGGGGAGAGAGAGAGAGAGAGAGAGAGAGAGAGAGAGAGAGAGAGAGACTGACACTAACTATACTGGGTAGGGCTGGCCTTGGGGATGGGAAGGGACCAGGAGCTGAGTGAGGGATGCAGGCAGCCTGCAGGGACTGATGAAGGGGGACAGGGAGAAGCAGCCCAGGATCTCTCTCTCTCTCTCTCTCTCTCTCTCTCTCTCTCTCTCCCTCTCCCTCTCTCTCTCCACATGTGAAGGTCAGAGGACAAATTTGGGAGTGGGTTCTCTCCTCCTACCATGTGGGTCCCCAAGTCAGGTCGTCAGACTTGGAAGCAAGCACCTTTACCCCCTGAGCCATCTCTCCAGCTCGTTCTTAAGGCCATGGACGTCCTTCCACCCGTCTGTTCCAACCCTCTGTCCATTTTTTACTCAGCACGAACTCCTCTCCCTTCAAACACGGGCTCCGGGGCGCCAGCCTTCATCTGCAGCCCTTTGGGTCGCCCTGATTGCTTTCCATGATGGCCGGCTGTGTGGAAGGCCACCCTGAACCCCGGGTCAATCACTGTCCCCTCCCCTCTCCGCTCACTTTGCACGTAGCCCCTGCAGGCCCTGGCGTCTCCATCTGCCCTCCTCCAAGTTCTATTTTGACACAGGGTCTCATGGATCCCAGGCTTCAAACTCACTATGCAGCGGAGGCTGGGCTTGAACTCCTGATCCTCCTGCCTCCACTTCCCAAGTGCTGGCATGACAGATGTGCGCCAAGCCAGACTACAGGGGCTGGGGGGGCGGGGGAGGGGTACTGGGAACTGACCCCCGCTGGGCAGGCGCCACACCCCCAGCTCCTCCCAGCTCCCCAGGCTCTGGCTGCTGTCGGTTGCTCGGTCCCCAACTGTGTCCCCAGATCCGCTGGGAGGATGCTGCGAGCGCTGACCCGAACCCAGACCTGGGATGTGTCTCCTTGGAAGGTGGCTGTTCTCCATCCCTGCTCCACGCTCTGCGTCATAAGCAGTTTGTGGGATGCAGGTTTGGGGGGGGTCTCCCTGAGGCTGGCCCCGGAGTCCGCACCCGTCACCCCATCTCTGCAGCAGAGTGTCGGGGGCCACTTGCACCCCTGCCCCTGCCCCAGCTGTCCCAGCTCGGCGGTTTGCAAACGCGAGGGCCTGGACGGGGGTCTCTCTCCCTCTACTCCCCGCCACCGCAGCCGACCACACTCCGCAACGTCCACACGCAGGCCTCTGCGGCAGCCGCGGCGCCATGACGTCACGCGGCGGGGGGAGCGGCGTGCGTGGGGCGCGGCCATGACGTCATGCCCGCCCGCGGAGCCCCCGCGCCGGCGCCGTGACGTCACGCCTGCGGAGCTGCGGCCGCCGGGGCGCGGGGTGGGCGCGGGCGGCGGCATGGCGGAGAGCGAGGCCGAGACCCCCAGCACCCCGGGGGAGTTCGAGAGCAAGTACTTCGAGTTCCACGGCGTGCGGCTGCCGCCCTTCTGCCGCGGGAAGATGGAGGACATCGCCGATTTCCCGGTGCGGCCCAGCGACGTGTGGATCGTCACCTACCCCAAGTCCGGTGAGCCGGGGACCGGGCGGGGCTGTGTGACCTTGGGCCGGTCGCCGAACCTCTCTGTTCCCGAGGCTGGTGCAGCCTGGCATGACCCGGGTGGGAGGGGGGCGCCGGCATGGCTCTGTGGGGGAGGGGACCAGCGCTGGCCCCTAAGCATCCTTGCTTAGGGATGCTCCAGTCACCCAGTAGGGCCCGGCATCCAGGTTCCCCCTGGCATGGACCAGCGTGCAGCGGCTGGCAGAGTGGAAAGGGAGAGCTGGTCAGCCCCATCGTGGTCCAGGCTGAGGCGCAGAGTGGGAACAAGGCTTGCCCAAGGTCACACAGCTGGCCTGGGGTCTGAAGCCGCCAGGCTGTCCAGGCCTGGTGTAGATGGTACCTCTAATGGGGCTGGAGGGAAGAGCCCAGCTTGCTTGTTTGTTTTTTTCTCCCCTGTGCTCAGAAGGGACCCTTGTGACCAGTGTCCTGGAGGCCCCGGGTAGTTGAGAAGGTGGGTGGTCATCCCCTGCTACACCCTCAGCAGGATGACTGTCACCTGGGGTGGAGTCCTAACGCTCAGGGAAGCTGCCCAGCGTCCCCCGCCCCCAGGAAGGTCGTGGCTCTCTGAAGCAGGCTTATGGGTGTGAAGACCCTGGGGCCAAGTCCAGTGCAGACAGTGACCCTCCACACGGTGCCCTGGAAGAGGCAAAGGCTCGGGGAGGAGGGACGGGTGCTGGCTGAGGCTGGGACTGACCTGCACACCACCCCTCTGCCCAGCCTAGTGGGCAGTGTTTAGAGGGATCACTGTGTTCTGGCGGTCAGCCTAGGTGCTCCACAGTGGGGTTTCTGGCTTCCCTTGGGTGTTGCCATTTTTTGGTGGTGCTGGGATGAACCCAGGGCCTTGAACATGCCAGACCAGTGCTCTCCCACTGAGTCCGTCCACAGATGGGGCAGTTCTTAGGGAGGACACACGTTTGTGTTATTTTTGCCACAAATGTATATGGGGTAAAGAGATTCAAACCTGCCTCCTGTTGGTTCAAGGCAGGAACTGTGGAAAACTTGGTTTTTAGAACTCACAGGACACTGGGGTGAGGCTGGGATTGAGGCTTCTGTTGCCTGTAGGACTGGAACAGATGAATGACTTACTGGAAGGGGCTGGTAGGGGAGCATTGGTCAGGACTCCTGCGGGTGTGGCTGGGCTGGAGGCCCAACTGTGGACTTAGGGGGCTGGTGGGTATTAGGGGGACCCTATGTTGGGGCCTGGTGAGTTTTGGGAGCTTCCTGGGCACTGTGTGCAAGGTGGATGGTAAACATCTATTTTTAATTTGTTTTTCGTTTTTATTTTGAGACAGGGTCTCTTTATATAGCCCAGGTTGGCCTTGAATTCTCAGTCCTTCTGCTTCAGCCTCTCCAGTGCTGGGATTTGTATGGGTTTCCTATCACATCAAGCCCTTGGGGTTCTTTGTTGTTGTTGAGACAGGATCTCCAGGTTCATGCTGTACAGACTGTCCTTGAACTTGTTGTGTACCACAGACTGGCCTTGAACTCCCGATCCTCCTGCCTCAGCCTCTCAAAAGCTGGGATTACAGGTGTGTACCACTACCCGTGGCTGGGTACTGGCTTTAAGGAAATTTTCCGGGTAACAGACCCTGACATCTTGTGTGTAATGTACATCTTTCAAATACAAACATACCAGCTCTTTCCTCAGTAATGAGACCTCTGCAGAGACTCAAAGATCCTGCTTGAGGTCTCCCCTCACCCCAACAATGTCCCCGAGAGGCACCTTCTTAAAACTGACAGTCCTGTGGCCTGGTCTATCCATAGTGTGTCCTTTAGTCACCTGCCCACTCCCTGTCCCCACCCACCTTGAAGGCCACCTTGCTAGAATACAGATAAGCCAGATGAATCCATAGCCAATACCAGAGCCTCCTAGGCAGCCAGCCATCTGTCAGAGTCTGTGCTGGTCGACACAGAAACTTCTCCCCATATGTGTGAGTAGGGCAAGATGGGGCTCCCGTGTCACAGTTGGGGACAGCAGCTCTGGGAGTCACCTGTGTGGGTGATGGCTGCTGAGATGGCCCAGGCTTTCCTCTTCTGGTTCTCACCCTCTTTCTCTTCTTCCTCCCTCATCCTACCATGACTGGCATCAGGGAGCGTTTCCTATTAGAGAGGTGGGCTCGCTGGCCTGTGTTCCACCCTGCCTACTGCTTTTGAATGAAATGAGAGTCCTGAAGAACTGGTCCCTAGACTTACCTGAAGATGGCTCTGCATTAGAGAAGCCCTGCAGCTTCTCCAGGGCGGTCACAGCAAGGCCACTGGGGCTGGGGCTGATGAGCCCCTGGGTGAACCTGTGCCTCCCTTTGCTCTGCTGGGAGCCCATGCATCCCTGCCCAGCTCTGGGGGCCTTGAGGGCCAGTCACCTGGATCACCCACAGGGTGTGGCTGAAGGTGGGACCTGGGTCCCTCAGGAACTATATCAACCACTTAAAATATATATTAAAATTTTTTTATCCTGTGTGTATGTGCTTTGCCTGCCTGTGTATACGTGCACCACATATGTGCAATGCCCACGGAAACCAGAAAAGGGCATTGAATCCCTTGGATCCGGAGTTACAGATGGTTGTCAGCCACCACATGGGCGTTGGGAACTGAACCCAGGTCCTCTGCAAGAGCAGCCGGCGCTCTGAGCCATCTCTCCAGCCCACATATTTTTTTTTCAGATTTTTAAAAAATTAGTCATTTTTTGTTACTGCAACGAAAATATCTGTCAACTCAATATCAGCAACTCAAGGCTGGAAGGTCCTTTTTGACTCACAGTTTCCAAGGGTCTCAGTCCCTAGTGGCTCTGGGAAGGCACGGCAAAGGAACTCAGTCCAGAGGCAGGAGCGTGTGGCTGAGGCTGTTCACATGACAGAGGACAAGAAGCAGGGAACAGGACAGGAAGTGAGCAGGGAAAACCTACCCCAAGGACTCACCCCTGGGATCTACTTCTGCCCCCTAGGTCCTACTTCTTAAGGGTTCCACAGCTTCCCAAAATGGCATCACCAGCTTATGGGGACAGTTCATATTCAAACTGGAACAGGATGGCTAAGCTTGCCTTCTGTGGTCACTGCAACTGCCCTGTGTGCCTTGCAGTTAACCCTTATTGGTCTGCTGGGGGCTCTTATATCTTTTTAGAGACTCATAGAGGGCAAGCTAGCTCAGAAGAGGGCAGGCTAGCTCAGAGTGGCACAGCTGCTGAGGAACAGGGCCTAGAGCTTACACTCAGAGCAAGGCAGGGTAACCACGCCACCCTGGCTGCCTTCCACCCCACTTAGTCCACAGCACAGCCTGGGCCCTGTGACCACTTCTTTCCTCAAGCCCTCACACAACTTCTCAGGCACTGAAAATTACCCCACAATAATCAAAATCAGCCAGCCAGCTCAGCTCCCGGCCTCTGGGGCTCCTTCACCCCCCAGGCGCTCAGATGTGCCTTTGCCTCCAGTCTTGGGGTTCTCCCCCTTTTCTGGGGGTGCTGCCGTGGCCTCGTGAGCCCTAGTCCTTCCCCGTCCTCTCCGTAGTTAAGGTGACTGTGGAGGCACAGGTCTGCTGTGTCCACTCCACCCTTAGTCCTCTGTGGCTCACTCTTACTGACTTTACTTGTGTATAAGCTGTGGAGCCGAGCCTCCTTCCCAGTCTCTCAACTCTGCAGACCTGCCTCCATCATCTCCTCCCTCCAGTGATCTGGGATGAAACATGGCCTACGTTGTTTCCCTCTGTGACATGCCTTTTTCTTAGCTGCAAAGGTTTCTTTGGCGAAACCTTTGATTTCGCCATGTCTGGGATTTAGCGTGTGTTTTGTGCTTGACTGGTGATCCTGCCTGCTGTTCACAATCTACTTAGACCTGCTGTCTGCCGCCTTCTGTCACTGTGGAGGCACACTTTCTCCTCTCCTTTCACATGTGTGTTAGGTTGTTGGATGTTGATTCAATGGCTCTTCAGTGTTCGGTTCTCATTTCTGGTTCTTTTTCTTGTGTTTCAGTTTGGGAGAAAGAGGGAAATTGACCTTTTGTCTCACTGTAGACCAACCTAGCCTGGAACTTACTTTGTAGCCCAGGAACTCACTCTGGGCCCAAGTTAGTCTGGAACTCACTCTGTAAGCCAGGCTGACCTGGAATTCACTCTGTAGCCCAGGCTGGCCTGGAGCTTATTCTCTAGTAGCCCAGGCTGGTTCCCATCTTTCAATGATCCTCCAACCTCAGTAAATTTAGTGCTGGTATTACAGGTGTTCACACCCACCTGGGCTACTTTTTAGAAAAACACTATTATTTATATATGTGTGTCTGTGTATGGATTATGTACACATACGTGAGGCTAGAAGAGGGTATTGGATCTCCTGGACCTAGAGTTACAGGTGGTTATGGGTTACCCCATGGAGGTGCCAGGAACTAAACTCAGGTCCTCTGGAAGAACAGTAAGTGCTCTTAAATGCCGAGCCATCTCTCTAGCCCCCCGAACCTGGTTCTGTCTACTACCTTGTCTGTGGAGAGTCAGTTTGTTTTTGCCTTTTGTGAGTAGCACCTTTGACTGCTGGATACAGTTTTCAGGCAGTAGACTGGGGCGTTTGTGACTTTTCCCTGGTAGGCCATGGGATGGAGTGTGCCTGACCACCTGGCTGGGTGTCCTGTTGCTCTGGCTACATAGGTGACCGTCCTGTAGTAGTTCCTGTGCAGAGTTCAGGGGCTTAGTTTTTAGAGGGTTTTTTTTTTTTTCCAGTGCTCCTCTTCCTCCCTCAGCTTTGGCTATTGGTCTGAGTCCAGGGGTGGATGCCCGCATTTAGTACTGTGACTCCCTAGCTCAGATGGGCAGGCCTGGGCCTCTGCCCTCGGGGGCACTCAAGTCTGAACGCTCCACATTCCCACGCCTGCTGAGGACTTTCTTAGGTACCAAAGTCTCCTTAATGGATTGCCTCGTGTGGAAGTTTCTTGTCCCTTCTCCAGTCTGGGGACCCTAGTCCAGGGTTGCTACCATGGACTTCTTCCCCCTTCTTC